TCCTGGGGGTCCCGGTCCTTGTGGGCAAAGGCGAAGGTGGGCAGCATGTAGAAGTACGTCCTGGCGTCACACTTGTTCTTGGAGTTGAAGCCGCCCGTGACCCTCTTCAGCCCTGGGGGAGGGGTGGAGCGTGAACACCGCCATAGCAGGGGCCTCGCCCCCTCCCCCAGACCCCGCACCTCGGGCAGTGCACCCAAGACCCGAAAGACACAACCCGCAGGCAAGGCAGGGCCCGGTGCTGGCGGAACGTGAGCCCGGGACTCTGCCCCCGGAGCTCCCTCCACAGAGGCCGTACAGGGCAGCCACCGCTGTGCCCAACCCGCCCCCACCCCGAGCGTGGTGGTGCCCAGGAGGGACTCAGTGAGGGCCTGCTGGGAGGCGGAACGGAGACCGCCGTGTGGGCCCCAGCAGCTGAGACGCCCACGCCCCTTACCCAAGTACCTAGGTTCAAGGCCCAGCTCTACTCCTAATTTCAGATTCCTGGGAGACAGCAGCTGACAACAGTTCGAAGTATTTAGGCCCCGACTAGCCACATGGGAAACCCAGCTTGTGTTCCTAGCCCCGAGCTTAGACCTGGCCCAGGTACGGCCCAGGTACGACTGCCACAGGCACTTGGAAAGTGAACCAGTGGAACAAAGACCTGTCATATTCTGTCTCTCTGCCTTTCAAATACATTTTTTAAATTAAGTTTTTAAAATAGTTATTTACTTATTTATCTGAAGGCAGAGTTAGAGAGAGAGAGAGAGGGGGAGGGAGGGAGGGAGGGAGGAGGAGGGAGGGAGGGAGGGAGGAAGGGAGGGTCTTTCATCTGCTGGTTCACTCCCCATATGGCCACAACGCCCAGGGCTGAGCCAGGAACTCCATCCGAGTGTCCCACGTAATTGGCAGGGCTCCCAACCCCTTGGGCCATCTCCCTCTGCTTTCCCAGGCAAATTAGCAGGGAGCTGAATCAGAAGTGGAGCAGCCAGGATTGGAACCGGTGTCCAAACGGATGCTGATGCTGCAGGCAGTGGCTTACCCTGCTGCACTATAATGCCAGCCCCACATTTGACAACTTCTGCTGTGAATCTCCCGAGAGCTTGCTCCATGCCTGGAACAGGTGCAGCCACAGTGACGAAGGTTCCGCCTCACAGGAACTCTGCCCCTGACCTTGGCTTCCTGTTGACAAGGCCTGATGGGGCCTCAGGAGCTGCCCAGCAGCCCTGGCCAGCCCGGGAGCCTGTGCTCAGCAGTCCTTGCTCTCACGCCACCGTCCTGTCTGTGTCGTGGGTGACTGCTGTTTCTCTACATCGAAGATGCAATTCCATGAACACTGGAGACCACAAGGATGCTTGGCAAATTCACTTGTTGACCAGAACAAGCCAGCTAGGAAAGGCGGAGACCCCACCGGGCAACCCAGCAAGGACCAAGTTCCTCCCCAAAAAAGGCGTTTGAAAAAAGGTTAACGCGGCCGGCGCCTGGCTCACTTGGTGTTCATGTGGCTGGCACCTGGCTCACTCAGTGTTCACGTGGCCGGCGCCTGGCTCACTCGGTGTTCACGCGGCCGGCGCCTGGCTTACTCGGTGGTCACGCGGCTGGCGCCTGGCTCACTTGGTGTTCATGTGGCTGGCGCCTGGCTCACTTGGTGTTCATGTGGCTGGCACCTGGCTCACTCAGTGTTCACGTGGCCGGCGCCTGGCTCACTCGGTGTTCACGCGGCCGGCGCCTGGCTCACTCGGTGTTAACGTGGCCGGCGCATGGTTTACTTGGTGTTAACGTGGCCAACGCCATGGCTACTTGGTTAATCCTCCGCTTGCAGTACCGGCATCCCATATGGGCACCGGTTCTAGTCCTGGTTGCTCCTCTTCCAGTCCAGCTCTCTGCTGTGGCCCGGGAGTGCAGTGGAGGATGGCCCAAGTGCTTGGGTCCCTGCACCCGCATGGGAGACCAGGAGGAAGCACCTGGCTCCTGGCTTCGGATCAGTGCAGCACCGGCCATAGCGGCCATTTGGGGAGTGAACCAACAGAAGGAAGACCTTTCTCTCTGTCTCTCTCTCTCACTATCTATAACTCTGTCAAATAAATTAAAAAAAAAAAAAAAAAAAAAAAAAAAAAAAAAGGTTAACGCTATCAGACGCCTAAGGACCAGCAGTAACCCTCACAGGGAGCTGATCGTGTGTGCAGAGGTAAGGTGCACACCAACAGCACGGGGGCCGCGGGGAAGTGCACATCCACCACACGGCTGAGACAGCAAGGGGTCGAAAGCATGGACAGCTCACAGAGACCGCCGTCCACGGGGCCCACAAAGCCTAAAATACTCCCAGACAGAGGTCGCCGACCCCAGGCTTAAACCCCAAACCATCACTGAGGAAACACAGTGAGTTACAGCTCCTGACCACGGTGACGACTAGACAAGCTAACCAAAGAGGAAGGCAGGGAAGGATAAGTGACAGACGGACGAGACGGAGCAGCAGGTGGGACTCGCCCAGCCACGCCAACACCACGCTAAACGTGAGGCCCGTACAACGCCGCTTAGAAGCAGAGACTCAGATATTGGGACCGGTGCTGCGGCCCAGCAGGCTAAGCCACTGCCTGCAATGCCAGCATCCTACATGGCTGACGGTCTGAGTCCTGGCTGGATGCAGATGACGCCTCTGGCTCCTGGCTTTGGCCTGATCCAGCCCTGGCTCTTGTGGCCAGTAGGGGAGTAAACCAGCGGATGGAAGCTCTGTCTTTTCCTCTCTCTCTAATCTTGCTTCTCAAAAAAATTTTTATTTAAAGATTTATTTATTTGAAAGTCAGAGTTAGAGAAAAAGAGAGAGAGAGAGAGAGAAAGAGAAAAAGAGAGAGAGAGAGAGGTCTTCCACCCACTGGTTCATTCCCTAGTTGGCCACAACGGCCAGAGCTGAGCCGATCCAAAGCCAGGAGCTTCCTCCTGGTCTCCCATGGGGTACAGGGCCCAAGCACTTGGGCCATCCTCCACTGCACTCCTGGGCCACAGCAGAGAGCTGGATCACAAGTGGAACAGCCAGGTCTCAAACTGGTGCCCATGTGGCGGCTCAACCCATGTGGCCGGCACTGCAGGTGGCGGCTTACCCTGCTATGCCACAGCGCCGGCCCCCCAACATTTTTTTAAATAAAATAAAAAGGCCTAAAATTCCACTGATGCTGTCACACACAGGAGTGACTGCCCCTGTTCCAACCATGAACTTGGTCTTCACAGGGAGCAGCCTGCTGTCCCCACGCCTGAAGCAGGTGGGGCTATGGAGTCTGCACGGTTTCACCCACACCACCACTCACCCAAAATCCGAATGTGGGACGGCAGGTGGCTGTTGATCTTCTCCAGGATGTCATCAATCAGCCACACCTTCAGTGACACGACCTGGCCAGCAGCAGACACACCCTGTAAGGACAGCGGGTGGGGACAGGAAGGTGGATCCCACTGGGCCTGCCCCCCATCACGACCCTCCCCCCCACTGGCCCCTGAAGCAGAAGGCTGCTGGACGTCCTGTCCCCGCACACAGCACGTCTGCTCCTGGAAGAGCGGGTGAATCGTGCACACGGAGCCCCAGTTCTACACGCCTGCGGGCCTTACACAGTGGCTTCGCAGCCCAGCAGAACACTCAGCCAGGAAACCCCAGTCTCCTGTGCGGACGGCAAGCCACGTCCTGCGTGAGACGCGACAGCCAACGATGGGCCAACGAGAGAAGGCAGCTTACGTGATGGAACTTGGAGCAAAGCAAGACGAGGCGCCCACCAGAGCTAAAGCGGGGGTTTCCCGTGCGGAGGGACCTGCTGGGGCACAGCTGTGTACACGGGCATCAAGCGTGCCCCTGCGGGGGGCACACCTCACAGTGTGTCTATCACAGGGAGAGGAAAGAGACCCGACTGGGCGACTTAGGGCCCGGACAGAGCCCCACCCGCCGAGCAGGTGTCGACGCCCCGGGGGCCACTTAGAACCACCTGTCTTACTGGACACTAATGTCACGTGCGGTCAGACAGTCACAGCACATGCAGAAGGGGCCAACGTTGTAGTGCAGCAGCTTAAGCCGCTGCTGGCAGTGCCAGCATCCCACACGGGTGCCGGCTCGAGTCCTGGCTGCTCCGCTTCCGATTCAACTCCCTGCTAACGTGCCCGGGAGAGCAGCGGAAGACGGCCCAAGTCCTTGGGTCCCGCATCCACGTGAGAGACCCAGAAGCAGCTCCTGGCTCCTGGCTTTAGCCAGGCCTAGCCCTGGCCTTCGTGACCATTTGGGAAGTGAACTAGCAGATGGAAGATCTTTGTTTCTCCTTTTCTTGCTCTGTAACTCTGCATGCAAATAAATAAATCTGAAAAAAAACAAAAAGACCAGAAGAGCCACACTGAGAGGCAGTGCAGGTCCGGGCCCTGCTACTGCACCTGCCGCTCCCCACTGCTGTCCTGTGGCTCAGTCTCCGAAGCAGGCACTCGATGTGGAGACCCCACCGCACACGCACTGCACGCAGGCTGTGCCCGGTCCAGGGCAGACGTGTGACCACGACACGGACTCCAGTGGTGATTCACGCAGCCAGCACGGCTCCGAGTCCGTGTGCCAGGGCCCAAGTATGTGCACACACATGGCGCAGTAATACATTTCTTTTTTGAAAGGATTTACTTTATTTATCTGGAAGACACAGAGATGGATAGAAAGAGGTCTTCCCTCCACTGGTTCACTCCCCAAATGGCCACAATAGCCGGGGCTGGGCCAGGCTGAAGCCAGGAGCCAGGAGCTCCATCTGGGCCTCCCACCGGGTGCAGGCCCAGCCCTCGGGCCACCTCCCACTGCCTCCCGAGGTGCGTGAGCAGGAGCCGGCTGGGAGGCGGAGCAGCCGGCACAGGAAGCAGTGCTCCTGCAGATGCTGAAACTGCAGGTGGCGGCCCTCGTTCAAAGATGTTCACACTGACCGCGGGCTAAAACCATGTCATCCTGCATACACGGGGTTAATTAAAGAGGATCACGAAGACCACTTTGACCCACTGGAGAACCACAACGTGGCCCCCTCTGCAGCCACGTGGCCCCATGTCCCCCAGCGGGCCTGTGCTGGCCACTGGGCCCCACGAAGGGTGGAGGCGACAGAGAAGGTGGACCAGACAGGACGCAGTCTTGCCAGCAGTGGGCCCCTGGATCCAGCCACACCTGGGCTGACGCAGCCTCACAAGGCAGACATCCCAGTCTGCTCTCGCTGCGAGTGCCGACAGAGCCGCTCGGCGGGACGGCTGCCGCCTACCTTGTCCGTGCGGGCGCAGCGCTGGAAGGACATCTTCCTCATGTCTTCACCGTGGTTCTCGGGGATGCAGCCCGAGCGGACGAGGGCGGACACCAGGTCATCTTCGATGGTCCTGAACTGAGAGGACCCCACGTTTCTCTGCAAAGACAGCAAGGCAGGTGGTCACCACTCAGCTCCTGCCCCCAGGCCTGAGCCGCCCAGGGCAGACCACGTGCAGCTCACACACACCCAGCAGCAGGACGACGCCTCCCGCAGCTCAGGGACCCCGCACCACCGACCCTGCCAGGCGACATGGCCAGCACAGGGCTGGGCTCTTCTGAGCAGCCCGGCACACCTCCTGGGAGAAGGCACACCTGGCACCATCTCTGATGCCTCCCAGCCTGCCCCGTGAATCCACTGACAGCCACTGCCCACTGGGCCTGCACACAGCCACGTCCAAGTTCAGAAACCCTGCGAGCGCAGCGAGACTGAGCACGGCCAGGAAGTCCCTCCCGCAGTCCACCCCACGGTGCCCATGCCCTCCTCCGCACGTCTCAGATCCGAGTGTGGGCTGACGGGGTGACGGCCCTGCCTGTGCCCGTCTCCCTCCCAACGGCAGGCGGGAGCTGGCGAGGTAGAGCCTTACACGATTGAAGTCTCTCATAAAACAACACGTTTACCTGCTCCTACCAAAGCCGAGGCTGATCCGTTTCCAACCCACAGCGTCGCATCACGAACGCCATTCGGAGGAAAAGCCTACCCGCTGGTCCGGTGAGCGCTGCTCTCCTCGTCACCTCCATTCACTGCCACTGATGTCTCATCAGACACGCAGAGAGAGGGACAGATGGACAGACAGATCTTCCATCACTGCCCCCACAGCCAGGGCTGGGCCAGGCCGAGGTAGAGCCAGGAGCTCCATCCGGGTCTCCCACGAGTGGCAGTTAACCCACGTCCCTGAGCCGTCACCTACTGCGTCCGAGGTGCACAGCAGCAGGGAGCGGGAACGGGAAGCAGAGCTCTGTGCGGGACAGATGTGCCTGCTTCCTCCAGCTCCCCTGTCTGGGGGCTCTGCAGTGAGCAGTGGCATTCTTCCTGTGGCCACACTGGAACAATTCTAAAGACTCACAAGCCGCCGGCGCCGCGGCTCACTAGGCTAATCCTCCGCCTGCAGCACCAGCACACCGGGTTCTAGTCCCGGTCGGGGCGCCGGATTCTGTCCTGGTTGCCCCTCTTCCAGGCCAGCTCTCTGCTGTGGCCAGGGAGTGCAGTGGAGGATGGCCCAAGTGCTTGGGCCCTGCACCCCATGGGAGACCAGGGGAAGCACCTGGCTCCTGCCTTCGGATCAGCGCGGTGCGCCGGCCACAGTGCGCCGGCCGCAGCACGGCGGCCATTGGAGGGTGAACCAACGGCAAAGGAAGACCTTTCTCTCTGTCTGTCTCTCTCACTGTCTACTCTGCCTGTCAAAAAAAAAAAAAAAAAAAAAAAAAAAAAAAAAGACTCACAAGCCACGTCCGAGCCACAGAACTGGGCACGGAGAAAGTCTCAGGCCCCTACACCTTTCGACCGCTCAGAAAAGGGCTGGACAGAACAGTCTCAGAGGGTGTGCCTGCCTCCAGACCGCACACATGCCACTTTAATTCCACACTGTCTCCTTCAGGAGCGCCTCACCTCCCTGCTGGTCCACCTCACACCTGCTGAGCGGAGAAACTGAGGCAGAGCGCGACTGGACCCTCCCCCAGAACCACGTCCACCGCGGCAGATGACTTGGACACCAGCCGGCGCGGGCTGCTTGGAGACGCGTGCAACTCCTGTTCAGGGCAGGAGCACACCTGCTCACGGACAACGTGCCGAAAACGACGCCCACGTCCCACGCTGGACTCCAGCCTCCTGCTACTGCACACCGGGGAGGCAGCACTGACAGCTCAGATACTCGGGTCCCTGCCCCTCTGCAGGGGACGTGCACTGAGGCCCTGCCTCCTGGCTTCAGGCTGACCCAGCCCCAGCCTTCGTGGGCATTTTGGGAGTGAATCAGCAGATGGCCGCTCTCTCCCTCTGCCTACGTGACAACTGGGTTAAGACACAGCCGGCCAGGCCCCACCTCCAGGTCCTGGGATAGCCTGGCCTCACCTGCAGGCCCCAGGCCCCCACCTGCAAACCCGAGCCGGCCAGGCCCCACCTCCAGGCCCCGGGCTGGCCCGGCCCCCACCTGCAGATCCCGGGATAGCCAGGCCCCACCTGCAGGCCCCCAGACCCCCACTTGCAGGCCCCAGGCCCCCACTTGCAGGCCCGAGCCGGCCAGGCCCCACCTCCAGGCCCCGGGCTGGCCGGGCCCCCACCTGCAGATCCCGGGATAGCCGCGCCCCACCTGCAGGCCCCAGGCCCCCCCCACCTGCATGCCATGGTAGCCCTTCCCCGAATAGGCCAGCAGCAGCACGATCTTCCTCTTGGGCAGCTTCCGGGGCGGCGCGCCGTCCTCGCCGCTCCTCAGCTTCTTCGCCTGGGGCTCCGCGTCCTCCCAGAGCCGCGCGCCCGGCCGGCCGGCCCGGGCCTTCCCTTCCTCCGGCCGGGGCGCGACGCCGGCGGCCGAGGGCGCCCCCAAGTTGCCGGCCATGAGGGTCGAGCTGCGGAGAAGAGCGGCGTGAGCTGGCGCGGCGGGCCCCGCGCGCCCCCGCACGAGGCTCCCCGCGGGTCGCGGCCGCAGCTCATTACCAGAGCGCGCGTCCGAGGCGCGGGGTCTGCAGGCCCCGGGCCGCCCGCAACAGCGCCCCGGCCGCCCGCAGCAGCGCGCCGGGCATCCCCATAAGCCGGTCCCGCGTCCGGCCGCGGCGCCCGCCCCTGGCCGGCTCCCCCAGCGGCTGGAGAGACCCCGGCCCGCGCCGGTCCCACAGCGAAGCCCCTTGACGCACTCACGTGCCGCGGACCGAGCCGAGCACACACCACGTGGTCGAGCGCCGCTGCGGGCGGGGGCCGGACGGCGGCCGGGGGCGGACACGGGGCCTCGCGGGAGGGGCGTGGCGGGGCGTGGGCGGGGCCTGGCGCTGCGCTCGCGTCCGGGAAGCCGAGGCGGGGGTGGGGTAGGGGTGGGGGTGGGGGTGTGGGGGGGTGGGGAGCTCGCAGCGGGAGCCCTGGAACTGCCGCCTCGACTCCCCCGCCCCAGGAAAGCTCCGCGGGTCCGCTGGCCGCTGCAGAACCGGGAGGGCCGCGCTGGAGCGTCCCCGGGACCCTGCGCCCGCGTCTGAGCGCCCCGCACCCGGCCGCCGGCCTGTGCTCACAGGCACACGCCGGGCCGGCCGTGTTTGCGGAAAGGTGGGGGACTGGATTCTGGATGATTGCACCCAGATTTCCTTTCCACCCCGTGTCCTTTTCTTATCGATTTAATGCGAATATTTATTTATTTGAAAGACAGAATTACAGACAGGCAGAGGCAGAGAGAGAGGTCTTCCATCCACTGGTTCACTCTCCAGACGGCTGCACGGATCCGAAGCCAGGAGCTTCTTCCGGGTCTCCCACGAGGGTGCAGGGGCCCAAGGACCTGGGTCGTCATCTACTGCTTTCCCAGGCCATAGCAGAGAGGTGGGCCGGAAGTGGAGCAGCCAGGACTTGAACCTGCGCCCACATGGGATGCGGGCACTGCAGGCGGCGGCTTTACATGCTACCTACGTCACAGCGCCGGATCCAATGCCCTTTAAATATATATATATATTTAATTAAATTTAAATATATATATATATATATATATATATATATAGAAAGGCAGAGTGACAGAAGGAGGGAGAGAAAGATCTTGTATCTGCTGGTTCACTCCCCAGATGGCTATAATGCCTGGGGCTGGGGCTGGGGCGGGCTGAAGCCAGGGTCCGGGAACTCCATTTCTGTCTCTCGTGGTTGGCAGTGGCCCAAGCAGTGCTTTCCCAGGCGCACTGGCAGGGAGCTGGAACCAGCGCTCTCCTGGGATGCAGTGTAGCCTGCTGCGCCATGACGCCGGCCCCTTTAATTCCACTTTCTGCAAACCTTTTTTTTTTTTTTTTTTTTTTTGAGAGAGAGAACACAGGAGTTCCACTCACTGCTGACTCCCCAGACACCTGTAATAGCCAAGGCTGGGTCAGATTGAAGCCAGGAACCAGAAATCCAGTCCCGGTCTCCCACGTGCGTGACAGGGACCCAACCACGGCCTCCCAGGAGGCGGGCAGGAGGGTGTGCGGCAGTGTCTTAGCCGCTGGGGTAAATGTGGGCGTCCTCCAGGAACTTCTCCAAGTCCCCTCGTATTTTCACTGCTGGGGAGACAGGCACAGCAAGCCTATGAAGGGAGGAACGCACTGTCAGCTACCGAATGCTGTGTGCAGTGGCTGCTGCCACGCGTGCTCAGGGAGAGAGGCCAGCACGAAGCCCACGTGGCACAGGACTCCACTTAGGGGAAGCCCTCGAGAGGCAAATCCAGAAACACAGAGGGCTAGTGGGGGTTGGAGGGTGGAAAATACGGGGTCGTAGGTCTTTCCCTTGATGAAAATGTCCTGTAACTGGGCAGTCACTTGGCCGTGTGGGATGCCCACATCCCATAGCCCAGTGCTTGGATTCAAGTCCTGGGGCCACTTCCAGTTCCAGTTTTTTGCTAGTGCAGACCCTGGGAGGCCGCCAGCTGAGTTCCAGGCTCCTAGCTTGTGCCCAGACCAGCCCTTGCACATGGGGAGTGAGCCAGCAGATAGGAGCTTTTTCTTTGTATCTCTGCCTCTCAAGTAAATAAGTGAACAACTTTAAAATGTATTTTACGGAGCTGACTTTGTGGCTCAGTGGGTTAAGCCACTGCTTGTGTTGTCTGCCTCCCACATCAGAGTGCTAGTTCGAGTCCCAGCTGCCCCGCTTCCGCTCCAGCTCCCTGCTAATGCACCTGGGAAAGCAGCAGGCGGCCACCCAGGTACGTGGGCCCCTGCACCCATTTCTTGAGACCAGGATGGAGTTCCTGCCTTCTGCCTCCAGTCTGATGCAGGTCTGGCTGTCGTGGCCATTTGGGAATGAACTACTGGATGGAAAATCTCATGCTCTTGTTCTCTCTGCCTTTCAAATGAACAAATTTTTGTATATTTTATACTCACCAGTACTACTGGCTGCATGTCTGTGAATACACTAAATATCATGAACTTCACACTTTAACATTTATTTGAAAGGCAGAGTTACAGAAAGAGAGAGGGAGAGATCTCCCATCTGCTGGTTCACTCCCCAAATGGCTGCAACAGCCAGGCCAAAGCCAGGAGCCAACCCAAGTCCCCCACACAGCTCCAGGGGCCCAAGCACTTGGGCCATCCTCTGCTATGTTCCCAGGCACAGGAGCAGGAAGCCGAATCAGAAGTGGGGCGGCCAAGACTTGTGGCGCCCATATGGATGCTGGTGCTGCAGATGGCGGGTTTACCTGCCGCGCCACAACACAGCCGTGGAGTCAGCAGTCTCCCAGAAGGGAGCAGTTAGGGGAGCCGCAGCTTCTGGATGGGGGCGGGGGCAGCCTCTCGTGTGCAGTGAGCAGCGGAGAAGCCGTGTCCCAGTGCGTACTCCTGTTAAAGCGCTGAGTCCTGCCGATGCACCTCCGCCTGTCTGACGAAGGCGTTCACAGCAGGAGGGTGCGCGCGCCCAGACACCTGGGGTTCCAGCACAGGCGGCAACAGGAGAGGGCACCTGGCCCCCATCCCAAAGTCGACTCTTGCCGCTCAGGCTCCACTCCATGGTCCCCACGGACACAGGTGGGCTCCCATCCCAGGGGACCCTGTTGTCAAGACTGGGGTGAGGCCAAGGAGGCAGCACGCAGGCCAGGTGCCAGGTGTACGGGGCCCGCGGAGCTCCTGGCCTTGCTGACCCACAGGCCCCGGCTGAAGGCCTGATGAAAAGCTGAGATCTGAGGCTGTCCACCTCATTCTGTAGAGGCCACAGCTCAGGGGCCGCCAGCAGCACTGCTTCTGGAATCCTAAAGTCCCTCTGTGGAGCCGGGTCAAGGTGTGGACAGGCCCGGCTCCTAACGCACTCCAGAGGAACACACATGCAAGCCTCGGCCTCCATCCTTTCACGTCCTCTCTGCCTGGGACAGCCTGTCGTCCTGTTTCCCTCCAAAGGCTCGGGCAGTCCCGGTCACCCCACGGGAGGCCCTGACCTAACCAGCTCTGCCTGCAGGGGGCATTCACAGGCCCCAGGGAGCCCCAGCCCCGCTACCCATGAGCTTGAATCTGGGGAGTGAGCCATGAGTGGGCAGGAAAACCACAGGACACCAGCTGAAGGGAGAAAGTGGTAGGAGAAAAGTCAGGAGTCCGAGGCCATGGGTGAGACTTGGCTCTGATGGTGTGGGACGAGGGCCAGGTGGCCACAGTGGAAGCACAGCTGGCCTCTGCCAGGTTCTAGGAGGGAGGGGGCAACAGCAGGGCCCCTCAGAGGCCCCTGCACGTAGGGTGGGAACCCCCAGGACCCCTCCCCACAGAGGTTCTCTCTAGGGAGTCCCTTTCCTGCCTGTCTGTGGCTCTGGAGCAGGGACCCCTGGCACTATGAATGAGCCCCAAAGGGCAGTACCCAGACTGGCCAGTCGGAGGCAGGGACACTCACTGTGGGACCCGGGCTCTGTGGAAGGGGCGGCAGCAGTGTCCACCTCAGCCACCCCTTTGAGCCAGATTCCATGGAGCCAGGACAGAAAACCAGGCCAGGCGGGGTCAGTCCCAACCTGAACAGAGGAGCCCCAGGAGGACAAGGGCGTGTGCCCTGTGCCTTGTCAGGGCTGGGCTGGGCCCCGACAGGTGATAAGGGCCAGGCAGCGGGAAAACGAGCTCAGCTCCCCGGAGACGGGCCAGGCCATCAGTGTGACCACTCCTGCACTTCTCCATTCTACAGGCACACTGAGGCCCGTGCAGCCTGGGGCTGGGGCCTCCGGGGCCCGGCCTGCTGCCTGAGCCCCTCCACGTGCCCGCAACGCGCTGTGCTGGCGAGGTTGGCCGAGGGAGGGCCAGCCCATGGCCCACTCCAGGCCCACCTCTCACCATGTGGTCCTGCCTCCGGGCGGTGGGGGGAGGTTCGGCAGCTTCCCATGCCCAGACCTGGAAGCACTGAACCAGCCCGCAGCAGGTGAGTGCATGAACACTGAGAACAGAACATCGCCCAGCACAAACCAGAACTGAGCTCTCAGCCGGGAAGGCACAGGGAACCCGAGCTACCAGCCAGCGGGCACGGGACCACCGTGGATAGGCAGTGCGCTGCACAGCACCACCCTGCGGCATCCGGGGACAGACACCCCGGAGGCGGGGCGAGCGAGGTGGCCTTCACCTGTCCAAACCACACAAGGGCCCAGACCCTTGGTGCTAAGAAGTATCAGCGCTGACCACCCTCTGTGGTGTGCACAGGGGGCCTCCCCCAAAGCCTCAAATTGAAGCAGGGCTGCCCCGCGGTTTCCAGGGCTTGCTCTGTGGCCGGCCGCTCCTGCTCAGACCCAGGGCCCCCCTCCACCGCCCGCCAGCACCACCGGCTCTCCCGCGACCTCAGTGCTGACACTGCGCTGGCCTTTCTGGGAAGCTGGTGAGAATGATCTCAGGTTCAAATTTCGCAACAAACTCAACAACAAATAGGCAAACCCAACGAAAACAGGCTGAGGACGTGGACAACCCTCCAAAGACAGCCGTCGTGGGGGTGAAGCTAGGTGCTGCCCGTAACTGTGGCAGCCCCGGGAGAACCCTCCGCGGCCCAGGGCCCTCCGTGGGCACGCGCCCTGGGGCGTGCTCCCAGAGCTGGGTCCACCTGACACAGGCGTGAGACCCCGGGCTCCTGCACTTCGGCTGGAGGAACAGACAGACGCCTCCTCTGAGAAGCGAAGTGACCTTCCGTGACACCAAGGCAACAATTCCAAAGGTTTATTTCCATTTAACCTGACGTCACACGATGT